GATCTTCCAGGGGCCCACATTCCAGCTGCAGGGAGGGTTAATCAGGAAGCCTGCAGCCTGAGGGGAACTGAGGGCTGGAAGACATTAATGGGGGTCTGACCGGACCTCAATCAGAAAATATTACTCATGGTAGTTAAGGTGATGGTTGATGTTAAGTTGGGTGTCCCAACACAGGCCAGGTCCACAGTGATGCGGGGCCTTACAGGATTTGAGGTAGACCGGAAAGCTTTGAAGTTCAAGTGCAGGGCCTGAGCCCTGACCTTAGCCAGGGGATATGTGTTCAGCCCCTGCCCAGCCTTTCTTTTTGAGATAGGGGTCTCATACATTACAGGTTGGCTTGGTCTTGCTATATAGATTAGGATGTCTTTGAACTCTGGATCCTTCTGCTTGTGCCTCCCAAGTGCTGGGATTAGAAGTGTGCACACCATAGCCTCCTTGTTCAGGCCTTTTGATAGAGTTCTACCTGGAGCCATAACTTTTTCCTTTTTGTTTGTTTTACCCAGTAATGACTGAGCTGCTGCCCTAGATTTAGGGATCTGGTAATGAGCTTCACCAGATTGTAGCCTCTGACTGTGCTCTTTAGCAACAACCCTGCTGTAGCAGTTTAGTGGGAATCCCCACCCTGAACACTCAGTGACACAGTTCTGTGACCAGCTTCTTATCCCCTAGTCTGAGGTGCTGTGTGCATGCCTGGCTCACCTCCAGCAGGAACCTGTTAGGTGGGCTGGGCCGGAGTCCCCTTCATCAGAAGTCTCCTCTTGGTTTCTCTCCAGTCGCCAACTTCCCTGCTCCTTAAGATCCGCCAGGTTGCTCCAGTGTGGAGCTGACCCCTCTAGGACTGCAAGGCCCTGCTGTGGTGGCTCCAGCACCTATAAGCACAACCCTCACTGCACTTATCAGCATGCTTGCAGTAATGCCCATTAATGCATATATGTGTATTCATTCAGAGCCTAGAAGAGGGTGTCAGATCCCTCTAAGCTGGAGTTACAGGTGTTGCAGGATGCCTGGCTTGCTACATAGGTGCTGGGGTCCAAGTTTTGGTCCTCATGATTATGCAGCAAGTGCTCTAAGTCACAGAGCCACCTCTCCAGCCCCCATAACAGCTTTTTAAAATGCCAACTTTGAAATTATCATAAGGAGTATTTTTTTTTAGACTGGACATGATGGCACTCATCTTTAACCTCAGCACTCTGGAGGCAGACACAGGTAGGTCTTGGTGATGTTGAGGCAAGCCTGTTCTACATATGGAGTTTGAGACTACCCAGGGTTACACAGTGAAACCCTGTCAAGAAATTTGCTTTTCCTCTAACATCTACACAAAAGTCCCACCTGCCTGGAGCTCAGAGATACAACGAAGGACATGTGAGGAGCGGTTCTCTGAAGAGAAACAAGTTAGAACTGGAGGCTGACAGTGACAGTGTGGGACTGACTTGAGCAGGGATCTTGCAGAAGATCGCTGGAGCCACCCTGAAGTTGGGTGACCCAACAGCAAGGGAAGTGGCTCCTTCCAGGAGAGGCCACTTGTTCAGGGTGCAGCTTCTGACCAGGCTACCACTCTTTGGAGAAGTATATAGTACAGTGGCTAGAGCTCCATGAGCTGCAGTTCCCACCACATTCATCCACTTGAGTTCAGCAGCCCCTAGGAGGACTCAAAGTCATGTCTAGGCTTGTTACAATGATAGAAGAATGAAACCTATCCTTGTCCCCAGGAGACACTTGAGTTGCCGATGTTCCCATGGTTCAGCAGAAAAGATCATCAGCAACAATGAAATTGGCAGAGCTGCACGGATAAGGCAAAGCAGCAGTGTGTGGGCAGTTGGCAAATGGAGGTGATCAGCCACTTGTTTATCATCCCATCACAGTTTCTGCAGGTTGAAATATTAGTGTAAGGCTGGGGACACTCATGCCATGGGCTGAATGTTATTACCCCATCTGAACTAACATCCTAGGCATCCTTAGTGTCCATAGGCTTGTGGTGAAGTGTCAGCCCTTTGGTGTTAAGCTAAGCTGACACAGACACCCAGGATTTGCAGTATACTGGGTAAGATGTGTTACTTTTCAATAACTTGATATATTTATCTTAAATATAGTCTTCTAATAGTACATAAATTGCTGACATAACACCATAGACCTTTATTTATTTGTTTTAAAGACAAGGTTCTCACTATGTAGCCCTGGCCTGCCTGGAACTTTTCTATGTAGAAGACCAGGCTGGCAGCCAGGTGGTGATGATAAATGCCTTTGATCCCAGAACGCAGGAGGCAGAGACAGGTGGATCTCTGTGAGTTCAAGGCCAGCCTGGTCTACTAAGTGAGTCCCAGGACAGCCTCCAAAGCTACAAAGAAACCCTGTTTCAACCCTCCCCCCAAAAAAAAGACCAGGATGGCTTCAAAAATCACTGTGGTCCACCTGTCTCTGCTTCCCGAGTGCTTATTAAAGATATGTCCCACTACTCTCTACCTGATTTTTCTTTATTAATAAATTGTCTCTAAAAGAGGGATGGAGAGTTGACTCAAAGGTTAAGAACACCTGTTGCTCTTGCAAAGGATCTGAGATCAGTTCCCAGCACCTATGAGGTGGCTTATAACCATCTGTTAATGCCAATCCTAGGGGATCCAACACCCTTTTCTGACCTCGGTGGGCACTAGACATGAACATAGTGCATAAACATACATATAAAATAATAAATAAATCTTAAATAATTGTATAAATTGTCTCTTTATTTTTCACCACATGTCTTGGGTGCAATCCTTTGTCCTGTTATGGTAGGGGCCTCTGAGAGCCACGGAAAAGAAAAACAGAAAATAGCCACTTGGGCTGAGCAATGCCCTTGAATGTATGTAAACTTGATTACATCTTGCCTTCACCCCCATCTTTGCTTAGTGGTCCCAGGAACCATGAAGGAAAGGCAGGAAGGCCACCATGTGGTTCAGTTTATGCCAAGCTTATATGAGACCTTGCTACATTCTCTGTGTGACCTTCCTTTCCTCCATATCTAGGCCATTTTCAGAATCCTACCTGAAGGTTTTAAAATATCCAACAGAATTGTAAATTACCATATATGGAAGACAAGAGCCTGGAATCAAGTGCCTTTTGAACTCAAGCTTGAGCTGTTAACATTCTGAACTTAGATTGGGACCCAACACTAAGCACATTTTCTACCTTTCTTTCTCTTTATCTCTGGATTCTGGCCAAAAGCCTAGTAAATGTGCTTTTCCTTTCCCTACTACTCTTGGCTTTCTGTTTCTGTGACCTTCATTTAAACAAAAAAGGCCCTGTTCTCTAAGGACAATGAGGGCACATGCCTTTAATCCCAGCATTCAGGAGACAGAGGCAGAGGGATCTCTTGAGTTCCAGGACAGCCTGGTCTAGAGAGTGAGTTCCAGGACAGCCATAACTGTTATACAGAGAAACCCTGTCTTAAAAAAAAAAAAAAAAGGCTCTGTTCCCTAAGCAGCTGTAGAATTGTAGAATTTCCAGCTTATCTACTGATTTCTACTTCTATTAGGGTTTCTATTGCTGTGATGAAACACCATTACCAAAAAGCAAGTAGGAAAGGAAAGGGTTTATTTGGCTTACACTTCCACATTGTAGCCCATCATCGAAGAAAGTCAGAGCAGGAACTTGGAGGCAGGAGCTGGTTCAGAGGCCATGGAGGAGTGGAGTGCTGCTTACTGGCTTGCTCTCTACAGCTTGCTCAGCCCCCTTTCTTATAGAAACCAGGACTACCAGTCTAGGGATGACACCACCCATAATAGGCTTCGTCTGCCCTATCAATCACCAATTGAGAAAATGTCTTACAGTGGGATCTGATGGAGGTATTTTTTTGAGGTTCCTTCCTCTCAGATGACCTTAGCTTGTGTTGACATAAAACTGCCCATTATACCCACTCTACTGTTTTTCTTTCACTTGTTAATAAAATTGTTCTCAAGTTTTCTTCCAAGTCTATTTCTAAAGTCTTTTGTTAACAAGACTATGAACCTACATAGGGAACCCCAGAACCAAGAACAGGGTCTCAAATAGTCGTTTTCATAGCAGCATCACTCCCAGCATTCAAAAAGTGGACACCTCCAAGTATCCATTGACAGCTGAATGCATAACGGAAACATGGGCAGTCGTGTAATGAAATACACTTTTTTATAAAGGGAAGGGAATCCTAACACTTGGTGTGTGGATGAATGCTGTATAGAAGAGCCAGGTGCGAGAGGACAGGCACTGATGCTTCAAACCCACAAGAACAGAAAGTAAACTGTGGGTGCCAGGCCTGCGTGCGTGTTTCTATGGAGATAAGAAAGTTCTGGAGTTGGATGGTGGCAAGGGCTGTGCAGCAGTGTGAAGAATGCTGACCGGAATGCATTAACAATGGTCTTACTGACTGGTTTTCATCAACTTGACACAAACCTAGACTTATCTGGGAAGCGGGAATCTTGAGAAAATGCCTCTATAAGATTGGCCTGTAGGAAATCTCTGGAGGTATTGTCTTAATGGCTGATGTGAGAGGGTCCAGCTCACTGTGAGTAGGTGCTCCCGGGTTCTATCAGAAAGCAGGTTAAAGAAGCCCCATGAGAAACAAGCCAGTAAGCAGCTTCCTCCATGGCTTCTGCTTCAGTTCCTGGAGTTCTTTCAGCAATGGGTGTGACCTGAGAGTTTTCTGATGAAACCCTTTCTTCCCCAAGTTGCTTTTGGTTATGTATAGACAGTGGCAAAGTGTCTGTATTTAATCACACAACGAACAAAGAAATGCCTGAGTAATTTTTTCTATCTTTTCTTCTGGCAGAACTGGGGAAGGAAACCAAGGCTTTTTGCCTGCTGGAAAGTGAGCTATTTCCAGCCATCTTCTTGCATTTTATTGGAGACAGGATTTTAAGTTGCCGAAGCAGGTCTTGAACTGGTATCCTCCTGCCTCTGCCTTCCGAGAGTCTGGGTGGGATTGCACACCGGACCCGACATAAGATGGCAAATTTCACGTTTATGTATTTAACCGGCATGAACAGGAGCCAAATAAGGAAAAGGGCGTCGGACCGCTCCAGCCTAATCTGGGCTTGCGCGCCCATCCACAGGCTAAGGCCCCGCCCACTTCTCGTCCCACGCACGCGCGTTGGCCGCCGCCGCCAGGGGCCGCTGTGGCGCCCGCCCTCACTCGCGCCCAAGATGGCAGCCGCGGTGCTGCTCCGGGGCGCGGCTGTGGGGTGTGGAAGCCCGGCATGGCGCTGGCGGGCGAGCTGGATCCCGAGGAGCTGCTTGGCCCGTGGCTCCGGCCTTCTCGGAGGCAACTCCGAGGATGGCGTGGCCTGGACCTGCTTCCGGCTAGACGAGCGCGCCTTAGTGCGCGTGCGCGGTCCGGACGCTGCGCCCTTCCTGTTGGGACTGTTGACCAATGAGCTGCCGCTTTCGGGTCCTCCAACCGGCACGGCTCAGCCCTCTGCGCGTGCGGCGTATGCCCATTTCCTGAATGTGCAGGGACGCACACTCTATGACGTCATCCTGTATGGGTGAGCGTGGGCAGCAGGGCGGGGCAATAGGAGCGAAAGCCTGCTGGGGGAGTTGGCTTAGGAGGAGGACTTTCAGGAGTGGTTGGACGCTCCAAGGAAGGGTGTCTAGGATAAGATTCCCAGGGGATGCTGGCTAGACACCGCTGAGAAGATGCTGAATTAGATAACTCTGGAAAAGGCTTCCAAAGGAGGATTATCTAGATCTAGAGAAGGAGTCCCCTAGAGGCTAAAGTCCAGTGGAAGGCTTTCAGGTTGGGCTAGTTACTTGGACAGAACCTTGTGCCTCTGCTCCCAACCAGTCAAGTCAGAAGCTCTTGTACAGTGGCTTCTGGAGATACGCATCTTCAAGAAGGGGCGTCAGCCCTGGTTGTCACTCCTCACTGCATGGAAAGAGAGACTTAAGCGGGGTCCTTAGGCTTTATTCAGAGAGCCACTCTGCACAGCCACTCTCTCCACTGTCACAGGTTGTACCGGTGTTCTGAGTGTCCAGTTTGTTCCTTGCTTCTGGCTCCCCTTTGCCTGTTTGCCTGTGTGGTCTCATCACCTATGTAGACCCGACTGTGACTGTAAATAGCGTTTGCTGGCCAGTCTGTGTCTTCTTGCGTTCTCAGTTGCTCACCATTCCAGGACCTGAGCCCTGAAATCGCAGCACCATCTAGCAGCCAGAGCTGAAGACCCACCCTACCAGAGTCAGGGCCTGGCTGCCTGTCTGAGTTGCCTGGTGTCTTTCTAAGTTGGGTTTTGGTAAGCATCTTCAGTAGTCACCAGGTTCTCAGAGTCAGAAAATGTGGAGATGACTCAGTCTGGAGGGTCTTTCCCAAACCCATTCCAGGATGAAATTGGTCACTGAGACTTGGCAGCGATGACATCATTATCCACTAATTGTCTGCATTCTGTGGGGGAAACCTAGACTATTTCCAGGTACTGAAAGACCACAGTGATGTGCCTTCTAGAGATTTTTTTTCCCCTTGTATTACATCACTTAATGGACTTTCTGAATCTAGAACTGAGTCAGCAAAGGACAGCCTCTGGGTCAGACCCAGTATGATGCTTTGGTGTATAGAGTTCTGTGAGAATCCTCGCACATCCATTTTCCTCCCTCAGCCCGGACAGTGTCTTCTGGTCACTGTGAAGGCTATGGTGGCTAAGGACCTTAAGTCTAGACCAGTCACTGCCCTTGGTAGAAAACACCCATGGACCCCACTCTGGAGACTTGGATCTGACTACATTTCCAAGACGTCATCATTTCTGTCTGTTACCAATAGGCTGCTGGGAGTCCTGGGCCAGCAAGGAGAAGCTATTGAAGTGCTAGTCTTTGGTGGCTTTCACTCCTCATGGTGGTTGGCAGGGGTTGGCTGTGTAGTGGCAGTTGCTCATGGAAGCAGGAGCATGTGGATGCCCTCTGTGTTGAAGACCTTGAGCATCTGCAGCCTTGGCCCTTCAAGTGTTTACAACTCTTGTGGATGTAGAATAGGGTTCCTCTACTCTTGGCAGCAGCCAATATTATAGCTGGGATTCCTTAGCTGTTAACACCAGCCATTGTCACAGCTCCTCTGACCAGGGTATTAGACCCTTGGTTCTAAAGGTTTGATTGACATCTCGCTAAAACTCTTCAGTGTTCTAGGCCTGCAGTTTCTCTTCTCTGGCTCTTTGCAACCTTTTATCCTTTTCCAGGCTCAGCTCCCTGCCACCCCCTACCTCCCCCATCTCTCTGCTTCTGCTGCCTTCTTTCTGCCCTGGCTGTTGTTGAACTGCTCAGCTGTTGTTTCAGCTCTCATCCAGCTGGCAATCTTGTCCTCCCTGCAACTTGGCTTGTCAGCTGCCAGGCTGTGGCCACCACTGTTGTTCTGCTGCCTCTGCTGACCTCTGCTGTCCCTGCTGCTACTTTCTCTGTTACCAGCCCAGCCTCCACTGGGGCTGTTGCTCTCACACTAGGGGTGAAGTTCAGGGGAGTCTCCCCACAGACTCACTAAGTGAGCCTCCACAGCCTGTTTGTGTAGCCCAAGAGGAGCTTTTGAACCACTCACAGACTTACTTATTGACACTTTCATTGTGAATGGCTGAGAATTGTGTTTGGACAGTCATAACTCTGTGTCTTCAACATTAGTTAACTGTAGTCCCTCTTCTAGGTACCAGGTAGATGCTATCCATCTGGCCTTGGTTGGAAATGGTTGCAGTATCATCTAGAGTTCATTGAGACTTGTGATGGCAAAAAGTCTGATAACAAAACAAAATCGCGTTGGAAGTTGTGCTTTTAGCAGTGGCTGCTGGCATAGGGTAGTCTGCTCCCTATATGACAATCTTTTTGCCGAGAGAAGCAGGGAGAGTCCCACAGCTGCCAATTAGTAAATAACCCATACCTAACACCCTTGCTTATTCATGAGAAAATAAGCACCAGGATGGCATGCAAGGAAAAGCTTAAGTAACTTGGTAGGACCTAGAACTGCCTTGGGAACAAATCTTTAGGCATGTCTGTGAGGGAGGTTCTAGATTTGGGTCGCTGTGGTGAGAAGGCCTACCCTGAATGAGGACAGCACCATCCTATGGCTTGGGATACTAGAGTGAATAAAAGGAGAACACAAACTGCACCAGTTTTCATGTCTCTGCTTCCTGATTGGGGTTGCAGGGTGATCTGCAGCCTCAAGTTCCTGCTTACCATGCCTTCTCTCAAATTGACTGTACCCTCAAACTGAGCTTGAATAAATGGCTCTTTAAGTGGCTTCTTTTCAGACACTTGGTTACAGGAGTGAGAAAATTAACTAATACAAATACTTGCAGGCTTCTTTTTTCTTTTTTTGTAAAGGATCTCATGTGGTTCAGACTGATCTTGAGTACTCTATATAGCAACCCTGAACTTATGATCTGTAGTCTCCACCTCCCAAATACTGGGATTACAGATGTGTGCTACAATACTCAGCTAATAGTGATGTGATTTTTTTTTTTTTCTGAGACAGAGTTTCTCTGTATAGCCCTGGTGAAACTCACTCTGCACATTAGACTGTATTTTAACTCACAGAGACCCTCCTGCCCCTGCCTCCTGAATGCTGGGATTAAAGGCACATGCCACCACTGCCCAGCAGCTAATAGTGATTTAAAAAGAACAAGAAAACAAACACAAAAACCCCCAAACAAACAAACAAAAAGACAAAAACACCCAGAGTTTTACTGTTCCAACTCAGGGATAGGTTAGTCTCTCTTATTTGCCTCAGGCATTTATTTCTTTCCCTCCTAAGGCTTTCATATTTACTATTTTCCTTACTTATCTAGGGCTTTCTGTTTCAGTGATTTTTGATACAGGTGATCCTTGACCCTCCATGGTTGGCCTTGGGTCCCCCCCCCTTTGTGGCTCTGTGGATCGCACCCAGGACTTCATGCCAGCACTCTACCAGAGCTATATCCCTACCATGAATTAGAAATTTTTGACTGTGGTGGTGCAAAAACTACATATATTCAGTAGGAACTACAACTGGAAGTTTTAATTTGGATTTTTTCCTGGGATCTTTGGCTCAACATTCACAGTGCCTCAAGTAGCTATGAACCACAGGGCTACTGGAGATCTGGGGGTGGGGGGTGACAACACGTGTGTTGTGTTGCTGAGCTATGATATTCTCCAGCAGAAGCTGAAGACTCATTCTATTCTGGTCATGGCTGTGAAGACACTGCCTGTAGTGTCTTGGGTCCCATTGTCTTCCTTAAGGTTGCTGTCCCTTTTGTCTTTTCCCAGAGTCTTCTGCCCTCAGGAAATCACCGGTGCTGGGAAAGACTTTGGTTTGATTTCTTAGGGCCTTTCTCTTCTATTCATGTTTTCCTACCTGACAGAGCTATCTCACCAGGCCCTATTAGTGAGCTGGCCTTTCCATCTTTGTGCTATAGGGGATGTGCCCCCACCAGGAGCACCTGGCTTAGCAGCCTCAGTACCCACTCAGCGTGTGACTTGCTGTTCTGTATGCCCTCTTTTTTTTTTTTTAAGATTAAAAAAAGATTTATTTTATGTGCCTGCTTATTTTGTCTGCATGTATGTATGTGCATTTGTACATGCCTGTGGATGGTTGTGAGTCATCACGTGATGCCAGAAAAGGAACCAGTCCCCTGCAAGATCAAGTGCTTTTAACTGCTGAGCTGTTTCTCCAGCCCCTGGTCTCACCTATGAGAGTCTTACTATGTTCATGTGCCAGGGTATACTAGGAAGGGGCTACAGGTGGGCTAGATTAGGGGAGAATCCAGGTTGCCCAGTGTTTTGTGAAACCCTCTCTCTTTGGTTCTCATCCAGTTCAAGGTCCTATCTTTCCTCAGCAGTTAGAAGAATGGTCACAAAGGGGTCCCAGGCTGTTTGCTTGGCTATGGTCATTCTTTGCCAGGTACCTTCTCTGCATTTTTTTTTTTTTTATTCTTTTCTGTCTTTGTTATCTGTGTTTCTTTGTCTCTTTTCCCCTCTGTGTCTCTATTGATATCTGTCTTTTCTTCTCCATTTCTGAAATGAACTATCATTTAAAGTTCATTTAAATATTTATTTGTATGTGTACGTACCTGCTTGTTTGTGTGCACACTGTGTATACAAAGTGTCTGTGGAAGCTAAAAGAAGGTATCAGATACCCTGTAATTAGAGTCACAGACAGTTGTAAGCTGCTGGATTTGGGTGCTGGGAACCAAACCTTGGACCTCTGTAAGAGCGCTTAACTGCTGAGCTGTATTTCTAATTTCTAGTTTATTATAATTGGGTATGTATGTAATTGTTGTATGTGTCTCCATCTCTACATTGTTAGTTTTTTACACTATTTATTTATTTTGTGCTGTGTGTGCATGCCATGGTGTAAACTTGGAGGTCAGAGGATATCTTTAGGGAGTTTGGAAGTTCTTTCCACTATCCTGTTCCTGGGGGTCAAACTCGGGTTGTCAGTCTTGGCAATACTGAAGCATCTCATCAGCCTTGCTGGTGCACTTTCTACCAGTAAGTTTAGATCTGTCTTCACCATGGAGCCAGAGTGGCTGTGTGGTCCTGTCCTGGGTAGTTCTGTGGACAGGAGCCTGGCTGTGAGCTGCTTTTGTGCAAGCCCAGTCTCTGTGTGGACAGTGTGCCCTGTTAGTGTTTCTGCTTTACCCTGGTGCATGCCTGGGGGGGGTCCCCAAATATGCAGGGACCTGAGTCTGCCTCATCTCTCCAACCCCTGCAGAATGAACACTGGGCCTCTGTTACATCTGCCTGTGCACAGGTCAGCTTGGGTCTCTGTGATCTCAGGCTACACCTGGGTTCCAGACGCCCTGTGATTGGCACTGAGGAACAGGGAGGCTGGAGGAGTAGGCTGGGGCAGGCGCCTGTGCATACAGTCACCTTCAGAGGAGCTGTTTCCCAGGTGGTGACTGTACACCATGGACCTGACAGTCCATTTGTGGCTCCAGGTAGTTTTGGTACCTCCTGGTGAATTCATTCAGTCCTTTTTTAAAAAAATGTCTTTCAATAATGACTTTAATTATTGATTAACAAATGGGAAACAATATTTTAATGCATTTTTAAATTATATAATGGTTGAATAAGGGAATGGAACATTTCCTTTTTTTAAAAATCTTTTAAAATTATATTTAAATTAGAAACAATCTTATTTTATATATCAATCCCAGTTCCCTCTTCCTCCCATGTCTCCCATTGATCCCCCCATCCCATCCCCCATCCACTCCCCAGGGAGGGTGAGGCCTTTTATGAGGGAATCTTCAAAATCTGTCAAGTCATTTGGGGGAGGGCCTAGCCCCCCCTTCCTGTGTATCTAGGCTAAGAGAGTATCCCTCCATGGGAAATGGGCTCCTGATATTTGTTCGTGCACTAGGGATATATCCTGGTTCCACTGCCAGAGGCCCCATAGACTGTCCAGTCCTGCTAGCTGACACCTTGTTCAGGGGGCATGGTTTGGTCCTATTTTGGTTCCCCAGCTGTCATACTGGGGTCCATGAGTTCCAGCTTGCTCTGTTTCTGTGGTCTTGACTCTTTTTCCGTCATTCCTTCCTCTCTGAAACTGGATTCCAGGATTTTGGCTCAGTGCTTAGCTGTGGGTCTCTGCTTCTGCTTCCATCAGCTACTGGATGAAGGCTCTAGGATGTCATTTAAGGTAGTCATCATTCTCATTATAGGGAAAGGGCATTTACGGTAGCCTTTCTACTATTGCTTAGATTCCTAGTTGGGGTCATCCTTGTGGATCTCTGTACAATTCCCTAGTGTGAGATTTCTCTTTAAACCTATGATGGCTCCCTCTATTGATGTGTCTCTTTTTGCTCTCCTCTATTCATCTCCCCATTCAATCTTTTCATCCCTCATGTTCTCCTCCCCCTCCTCTTCTCCTCTTTCTCCTCCCTCCCTCCCCCCTCTCTCCTTTGCAGGATGTCTGGATGTCTGGTACCCAGGCCTTGACCTCCTACTTGTCCTTTTGTTTTGTTTTGAGACAGGGTTTCTCTGTATTGCTTTGAAGGCTGTCCTAGGACTAGCTCTGTAGACCAGGCTGGCCTCAAACTCACAGAGATCCACCTGCCTCTGCCTCCCAGTGCTGGGATTAAAGGTGAGCGCCACCAACCCCTGGCTTCCTACTTGTCCTTTACCACCACAGCCTCTGAGAACCCAGATCCTTGTCACTTGCCCTCCCCCAATCCAGTGGGGTGAGATTCTCTACCACAGGTCCTAGGTGGAAGGAGACCAGGTCGGTACCAGCCATTGTAGGGTCTCTGGGATCAGCAGCTGCCAGGATAGTGCTTCATCTACCTCTGCCACAGCTCTGCCATACATGGCAGCTGGGGGCTGCCTGTCTTGCTAAGCAGCAGCCATAGTGCTCTGTGGTTCATAGCTGTGGTGTAGGTTCCTGTCTCCAAACAAGTTGTGCAGGTACAGCCATCTATGGGTCTGAGCGCTCTCTTGCATAGGTCCCATCAGTACATTTGATAAGCTCGGCCATGTGTGGACAGACATTGTTGTCTTGTGTTGGTTTCCACAGTACATTTAGTTGCCTGTATGATCATTCCTCTGAAGGTGTCTTGTGCGGCTGAGGGCAGGGCTCTGTGCATCTTCTTTTTTCTTTTTCCCTTCCTTCCTTCCTTCCTTCCTTCCTTCCTTCCTTCCTTCCTCCTTTCCTTTCTTTTTCCCTCTTTCTTTTATTCTCCTTCTCTCTCTCTCTCTCTTGTTTTTGTTTTTTTGAAATAGTTGGTTTTGCTTTGTTTTTGGAGGCAGGGTTTCCCTGTGTAGCTTTGGAGCCTATTCTGGAACTCGCTCTGTAGACCAGGCTGGCCTTGGACTCACAGAGATCCACTCTTGCCTCTGCCTCCTGAGTGCTGGGGTTAAAGGTGTGTGCCACTACTACCACCTGGCCTGTCTGTGTTTCTTGACAAGATTAAGGTTTACCTGCTCCTAATGTTTCAGAGTAGACCTATACATCCTAGGTCATGGCTCTGTACATTGGGCATCTTCATTCGCCTGTCTGTCTGTCTGGAGGCAATCAAGAGGCACAGTCTCATGTCATTGTGCCCATGGCCTTAGCCAGCAGACTGGAGGGGCAGCGCCATGCAGCCCAGGATGCTCTTCTCTTTGTTTCTGTCTTCACGAGCTTGGTGGGCTGGCACTGGGAAGGAACTCTGGCCAGCCCTAAGCTGGTGTCTATCTCCTACAGACTCCCTGAGAGCACCAAGGAGGCACCAGGCTTTCTCCTGGAGTGTGACAGCTCTGCGCTGGGCACCCTGCAGAAGCACCTGACCATGTATAAGATCCGGCGGAAGGTCACTGTGGAGCCACATCCAGAGCTCCATGTGTGGGCTGTGCTTCCCTGTGCCCCCCAGGCCCCTGAGGCTGCACCACTAGAAGAGAGGATGGAAGCTACCACCATCCTTACCCGTGACCCCCGGACAGTACGTATGGGGTGGCGGCTTCTCACTCAGGATGACGGCCCAGCCCTGGTGCCCAGGGGACAGCTTGGGGACCTCCAAGATTATCACATACACCGGTACCAGCAAGGTATGAGTAGGGTAATGTGCCAGGCTGGTGTTGGGGAGTGATGGGGAGATGCAGGGGACCAGGTGGGCCCCGGAAGGGGCAGAGAGGTTGGGTAAAGTTGGCTTGCAGGGTTGAACTTCATACACTGCAGGCCTGCACTTGTTGCTGGATATGCTATACTCATCCTCTTTGTCTTTGAACCCCATAGGCATCCCTGAAGGGGTCTGTGACCTGCCCCCAGGCATGGCCCTACCTCTGGAGTCCAACCTGGTGTTCATGAATGGTGTGAGCTTTACCAAGGGCTGCTACATTGGACAGGAGCTGACGGCCCGCACCCACCACACAGGTGTCATTCGCAAGCGCCTCTTCCCTGTGAGGCTTGAAGGGCCCCTGCCTGCCAGTGGCATCAGTCCTGGCACCTTAGTGATGGTGACTGCCACAGGACAGGCAGCGGGCAAGTTCAGGGCTGGCCAGGGACGTGTGGGATTGGCCTTGCTGCGGTCAGAGACAATCAAGGGTCCTCTCCACATAAAGACCTCCGAGAGCCAACAGGTGGCTGTGACTGCCTTGGTGCCAGACTGGTGGCCCACAGCTGCCAAATAGCTGGATGCACTGGAGCTTCACTGTCCTTAAAGTTAGCAGGTGCCTCTGAGGCTCTGCCGAAGGTCTTCCGACTCTGTGTGTTGCACCCCGTTGGGTATGAGTTCCTTCTCCTGGGATGTCCTGGGACACACCCATGTGTTCCAGGCTAAGGATTGGCTGCTGTTTCTTGCAGAGGGTCCTCCTCTTGTGGTCTTTTCTCCCCCAAGAAGTCTGTGATTGAGAAAGAGTAGCCATCCTGATGCTGGGAGAGGGAAAGGGCTGAGCTCCCTTTTGAACCAGATTCTGAAGGAGATTTGATATAGTACACGGGCCAAGGTGAGGGTGAGGCCTGTGTCCAGCCCAGTCCCCTAACCTTGTTTGCCCTTGGAGGAAGGTACTCTGTGTGCCTGCAAAGTTGCTGGGCCAGGCATGCTGGCTTTGTGTTCTCTTGAAACACATCTCAGGGTGGGTATTGCTTGGGTTGTGTGCAGGGTGGGGATCCCTTGAACTGGGCATGTGTTCTGTGAGCCACAGGGACAGTGTGTCCACTGTCTCAAGGGCTCTTTTCACTCCTCGAAGTGAGCTGCTGTCTTTTCACACTCCACGGGGAGCTCAGGAGGCGTGGCACCCAGGGCTCAGGTCCATCTGGGAGGAGCTTCTGCGTGACTAACCTTTTTTGCTGATTTGGGATGTCACTGTGTGCTTTTAGTAGGGAGTGACTTGCTGGTGGGGTGCATATCTCCCTCTGAACCACTTTTTCTAACCTTTGTAATGTGAAATAGGGGTCTTGCCACAAAGCCTAAGGACTAGTAAAGTGCAGTCTGCAAACAGCCCCTTTGGATCTCTTGCTTCATTTTGGGCAGGTCTGGTAGAATAGACCCACGGGACAGCTGTCTCTGGAGATCAGTGAGCACACCAGATAAAAGCATCCAACTGTTGTAGCTATCTAGCTCTGGTTGGTCTTAAACTTGAGATTCTCCTGCCCCAGCTTCATGAGTGCTAGATTGACAGGCATGTACCAATGTGTTTCACAACATACACCTATGTCTCTCTCTTTCAAAAGATGTATTTTGTTTTTATGTCTGTATGTGTGTGTGTATGCATATGAATGTATGTCTGGGTGCCTATGGAGGACAAAACAGGGTATCAGATACCTTGGAGTTAAGAGTAACCGGTATTTCTGAGCTGCTGGATGTGCACGATGGGAATTGAACTTGGATCCCCTGCAAGACCAGCAAGTGTTCTTAACTGTGGAGCCATCTCTTCAGACCCAATACATTTATTTTAGCAGAGTTCTATGGGCCATACTGGGCTGGCAGTGAGTGGGGAGGCCCGTGAGTGGGTGCCCAGGCTTCAGGGTTAAGGTGGGTAACTCTGAACTATTTTCTGCAGTATCTTCAAGGTGAGAGAGACCACAGAGGGCTGGAGCGAGGGTAGCCTGGGTAGTTTTTGGAGCCAGGGACAGTGGGAACTCTAAGAACTGTGACTTTAGAGGCTGCCTAGGCTAGGGTTCTAGGCACACTCTGAACTGAAGTGCAGTTTGCAGCAGCTTAGAAGGAGGAATGGAGGTTGGTGTCCCAAGTAGACTGGTGATTTGGGGGTGGCCTCTCTCTGAGGCAGGATGTGATGGGGGCTTCCCATGGTATTGAATGTCAGTGTTGGGGACAGGGACCTGGCAGACAACTTGAAGGATGGATTACTTTGGCTCACAATTTCAGGAGGTTGCAGTTCATAGTGGAGTTCATGGCACTGGGAGTGTGGCAGAGTCCGTTACATGGTAGGGCACCAGGAAGCAGAGAAGGGCATCCACAGGAAGGTATACCCTTCGGAACAGGACAGACCTCACACTCCACAGGTTCCACCGCCTCCCAAGTGGTGCCATCAGCTGAGGAATACCATGAGGTCAGATGTGAGCCCATGGAGGACATTTCCCATCCAAACCACAACACAGGCTACATACTTAGGCTGTGCAGTTCCCAGCATGGCTGAAAGACCCCATCTGTCCTGCTCAGATGGGTTGGCTGGCCTGGTCTGTGACTGTGCCCAGTGGCTGCCTCTCCACTCAGGAGCAATACTGCAGTTGTATTGAATATGGATGTAAAGGATAGAATCAGCTGTGCTCTGGAAGCCTATGACTGCTAGGCTCCTGCTTACTCTACCTGGCAACTTTTAAAATTGACATGGGGACCTCTGTGGATTCCAGTCAACTTCTTTTTGGGGTGAAGTCATGTGACTGGCTTTTGCTCCCTCAAATCTGATGGGGAAGTGCATACACAGGTTTGTGCCTCTGGGCTTTGTCCCTCACACATTCCAGCTTTCAGGAGGCCAGAAAGGTTCTAAGGCAGCCCCATTGGGCAAGGAAAGGACAAGTCCCAAAAGAGGGAGGTGCTGCTTTGGCTCCAGGCACTGCCCGCTGCCTGCTGTTGGGTCTTGAGCTCTGTCTCAGACGTTTAGAAAAGCAGTCCCACACAGTAGAAGAGCTAATAGGCAGAGTCAGCTGTGCACTGGGCTGGTCTACAGGGACCTCAGGGCAACTCTTAGTGATCAGGCATGCATTTGGTCTTCACATTCTCACAGGGATCTGCACGGACCCCAGTGTGGGCACTTGAAAACCATTAACTTTTCCACTGTATTTTGCAAAAAGTTCAAGGCTGTGAAAAATAAACTGATTAAGGAAAAGAAAGGTGTAACTTATTCTGGAGAGTCCCCCACCCCCCACCCCCATTCCCCAAGACAAGTAGGCTCTCACTTTGTAGCTCTGATTGGCCTGGAACTTAGTCTGTAGACCAGGCTGGTCTAGAACTCATGGAAGTCTGGGATTAAAGGTGTGTGTCACAAAACCTGGCTTGTTTTGTTTTTTGAAAACCTCCAAACCAGGCTTTGGGGAATGCATTCCTAGGATACAGGGTCCCAAAACTTTTGACACCACATTCCAAGGAGTCTGTTCTGCTCTCTGCTAAGGTGGTAGGTCAGGAGTGGCTTTGGGAAAGGAAGTCCCCTGGAACTTGTGAGGCCAGAAGGCAGGAAGGAACAGGGGTAAATTTACTTACACCAGGGCTGCCCAGTGTGAGGGCACAGGTGATGTAAATGACTTTAGTGGCTCAAGCTATATGGGTGGTTCCCAATCACTGGGCACCTGGCTCCCCAGAAAAAGGTTGAGGTCTGCTTTCAAGAGGGTGGGGGGGGGGGGAGGCTCTAAGCTGAAGCCAGCACCAGACTAGGAGCTGACTAGCCTGGGAAGTTTCAGATGCCAGAACCTCACAGTATACTGCAAAATTACCACACATGCTAAATAGACTCTCACGAGAAAGGGCCAGAAGATAAACGTGAAATATATTAGAGGTAATGATTTACATTTGAGTTAGAACAGGAGAGGGACTAGCCATTAGCAGAGAGTAAGGCAGGAGGGAGAGAGAGCCTTTAACAGGTACAAGGTCACAGCAGCTGAAGCAAACACATTCTCTTCTATTACACAGAAGGGTGACCAGACAATGACACTGGTCATATCATTCAAAATAGCTGGAAGAGCATTGTGAATGTTCTCAGCATAAAGAAATAGTAACTGTGTAATCCAGTCATCCTGGAGCTCGAGAGGAATGCATGCACTAGCCATCACACGGGCCCCCTAAGACACTTGATAATTAGCTGCCAAGTTAAAAATAAAATGTGAGAAAATGAGGACTATTGAATGGATCAAGCACATTTGTAAAAAGGGAAGTTCTAAGGTAAAAGTGGAGTATGACAAACACATGCTCTGGCATGTCCCATGCTGCAGCAGTAGGATCAGAGTTCAAGGCCAGCCAGGGCTACATAGACCCTGACTGGAAAAAACCAAAACAAAACAAAAAAACCGCCCCCCTCCATAAGGACACCTTTGGGCATGTTTTCTGGAGAATTGGGAGCTGGGGGTCCCTGAGCCCCAAGAGTGATTGATCGTCCTAGAACAGAGAGAAGACAGGAGAATGTGAGCTAGGGTAACAGACAAGAAAGACAGTGTCATACAGCATTCAACGACTTTAGGGAAATTCCAGAAGGACCGGAAGAACACCAGCAGGGGTGTAACGTAAATTATATTGGTAAATTGTTTTGTGCCACATGCTGTTGAAGCTTGTTGAAAGTGGGTTCTTGGAGTCAGGAGGGTTTCCTTATCCTAGACTCCAGGATTTTTGTCTCAAGCCCCCACACCCATATCCTTGACCTGAGTTATGTTGTCCCCATGGCTCTGTAAATGGAGAATGGAAAACAGAAAGCTGCTAAGGTTATTAGACACATTGTAGTGGAAGAAAAGCTCAAGGGTCAGACCTTTGCAACAGTCACCATTGTTTATGCTCTGAGAGGTGGGAGGTCCTTGCACCCTCCCCAGGGTGCCCTGCTGTTATGCCAGCTCCCACTCACAAAGAGCTGTGGGATGAGCAGCCTCCTCCTGGGTTCTCTGCCAGATTCCTCCATGGGGAAGATGACCCTGTGAGTGAGGCAATGGGACGGAACCAGGCAGGCAGTGTCAGATGGGCACAGCTCCAGAGCTGACTCTTGGGTCCCTCTAGCCCTGTCTGGCCAGTTTCCAGGCTCAGTCTCTGGTGCTTCTATGGCCTGGTTTGCTTCAGGCCTAGGACATCCTGTTTGGGGACCAAGGTGGTGCCATATAGGTATGTGACAGGGACAGGCCACATTCCTCACTGACAAAGAGGAAGCAAATGGACCAAGCAGGTCATTGAGAAATAGGAAGCTACTGGACCAATCACACGTAGGTGACAACCCTTCCAGAAGGGGCTCTGTTCCTTAAGTTCTTTCTTGCCTTTTTTTTTTTTTTTTAAGAAAAACAAACAAACCAACAACAACAACAACAACAAAACAGACTTGTATTTCCAGTACTGGCCTTGAAGTCAGTATATAGCAGAGGATATCCTTGAACTTCTGAATCTCCGGAATCCACTCCTAAATGCTGGGCAGACAGGTATGCACCACTAGACCTGGTTTATGTGGTACTTTGTGCAGCTAGCAATCACCGGTTCCTGATTTTACCCCAGCTGCCAGCCTGAGAGCAGATGGGCAGCCTAGCACCTACCACAAGACAGACAGTCATGGCTGCGGAGTAGGTGTGGTTCACAGTGAGCCCTGAGCTCTGAATCCCCCATCTTCAAGCCGTATATGGTGAGCTGTTTGTCGGGTTATTTGTGTCTATGGCTCCAAGTCTCCACCACAGCCCTCCTGTCAGTCCAGGGGGCTTGCAGTCTCCTCCTGCTTAGATCATCAAGACATTTCAGGGTGGGCTCAATCTAGCATTTTTGAGCACGAAGCTGGTGTTGCTTCAAGGCCATGCTGCGGAAAAGCCAAGGGTCTTAAGTTGTATATTTTCTAAATTGCAGGGAATATATGTGAAACACACACATATATAAGGAAAGTGCCATGACATACATGTGGATGTCAGAACAACTTTTGGGAGTTGATTCTTTCCTTCTAGTGTGGTTCCCATGGGTCAATCTTAGGTTGTCAGGCTTGGCAGCAATTGCCTTAAACCACTGAGCCAGCCACCTCTCCAGTCCTTCCTTTTATGAACAAGGCTGCCATGAATGTGCATTGTTAGTTTATGGTGATGAGTTTGTATGAAGCAGTTGAATTGAATCATATCTCAGAACTTTGGCTTAATTAAAAAACATTTATTTCATGTGTATAAGTGTTTTGCCTCGTTGTTTGTCTGTGTATAACACTGTGTGTTGTCCATAGTGGTCAAAGGAGGGTGTCAGATTGCCTGGAACACGAGTTACAGATTGTGAGCTGCTGTGTGGATGCTGGGACTTGAACTAGGGTCCTTTGCATAAGCAGGCGGTGCTCTTGATGAGCCATCTCTCCAGCTCCTCTGCTCAGCTTGAGTTTTATGATATTCAATTAGTGTCCTATGACTTTTAAAATAAATGATCACAAACTGGTGAAAATTCTTAAGAGATCTAAAAGCAAGTGTGGGTGGTGCTTGTGTACCCTGAGAGGTCTCAGGGAGGAGCCTTCCCACCTCTCTCAGTTCCTGGTGGGCCTGGCATGTACCTGCTTCTGCCAAATCACTCCAGCCTCTGCCTTCCTCCTTATGAAGGCATCTTCTGTGTGATTTCCTATCACATGGCCTCAGGGTGTGTCTGTAACTGCCTCTGTGTCTACATTTCCCCTTATACAAACACCATTTACTGGACTGGACTCACCCTACTGCCCTTGTCTTGACTGGATTGCTGCTTCAAGATACTCTTTCTTAATAAGCTTCTATCCCAGGTTCTGGAACGAGACTTCAGCATAGCCTTTTATTTATGTATGTATTTTAAGTATATGGTTTTGTTTGCATATACACCTGCACATTAGAAGAGGGCATCAGACCCCATGGGGCTACAGTTAGAGATGGTTGTGAGTCACCATGTGGCTGCTGGGAATTGAACTCATGACCTCTGGTAGAACAGTCAGTGCTTCTAACTGCTGAGCCATCTCTCCAGCCCTCAGCCTAGCCCTTTGAGAGGATGCCCTCTATTCTATAATATGTTGGAAGCAGCGGCCCAGCTGTTTCTTTTCTAAGAGAGATGGTTGCCTAGAGCATCCTTTCCACTACTCCACAGGGATGCTTAGGTCTAAGTGTGAGGGATGGCACTCATGTGCTACACAGTCATCAGTCTGTTTATCTGCCCACGAACACCAGAATGAGCAGTGCCAGAGCTGTCAGATTGAAGTAGAGTGGCTTCCATCTGTCTTAACAGAGTAACTGAAGTGCATAAGGGCTCTGCCAGAGCCATAGCCCTGCTTACAGGCACCATACAGCGGACACTACAGGGATGCCTCCCATAACTGTGGCTCACCTTTGTTCCTGATCCTCATAGCCAAGGGTCCTTGTTTCAGAATATCTGCTGTGATCCTCCTCAGTTCACTTTTCCGAACATCCTTTCTTCTCTGACTCTTGAAGCTGCTTGTTCCCGTGCTGTGCTGTACTCTCCACTTCCTGATAAACTTAATTCCCACTAAGTCTCTGTGGTTGTTAAGTTGGCATTAGTTGGCAGAGGCTAGAGACTATAGTGATGGCTTAGCTGGGAAGGAGCTTGCCATGCAAACATGGGGACCTGAGTTCAGTTCCCAAGCATCTGTGTAAAAGGATGAGCATGGCTACCTACACCTGTAATCCCAGAACTGGGGAAGGAAAGATAGGATAATGCTTGGGGTTTGTTGGCCAGCTGATCTAGCTGAATTGGTCAGCTCCAGGTTTAATGAGAGACCTTGTCTCAAAAAATAAGTTATATAAGTGGGTTGTGGTGGCTCACACCTTTAATCCTAGTACTCAGGCAGGTGGATCTCTGATTTCGAGGCCAGTCTGGTCTATAGAGTTCCAGGATGACTAGGGCTACAGAGAAACTCTGTCTTGAAAAAGCAAAATAAAACAAAAGATAAAGTGTAATAGAGGAAGGCATTTCCCATCAACCTTTGGCCTCCTCATCATACTTATATACACAGATGCATGTGCACTTCTATAACAGTGTGTAAACACTCACACACACACACACACACACACACACACACACACACACACACACACAAGCATGTATGGGTAGCTCTATGCTCTCTACTCTCCAGCTGTGCTGGCCTTGGCCATGCCTGCTGGAGAGTGAGCTAGTAATTGGCACATGGGTCCTGGGCACCTTTGTGGTGTATCTACAGTTG